ATTAGACATAAATGATTTAAATAAATTTTAAAATACTAATTATCTTAGAAGCTATGGGAGAAATGATTTTGAGTGTTAATTTTTAATTTTTAACTTTTAATTTATAATAAATTAGCCAAATAAGTCCAAAAGGTAAACACCTCCTTTAACATAATAATTGTGTAGTGTCATCTTGTGATTTTATAGTGTGTTGAGCTTTGAAGCTACTAGAGAACTTTAAAATAGAAAAACGAGAACTTGAATCAATTTCATTACAATTTGTTTTCTTTCCTTCGTATTTTGATGAATACTCTTATTATAAAATACAAACAGCCACTCAATGTTGCTCATCAGATTGTACCATTTCAAAAAAATAAAATAAAAGTGAGATAATAAAAAAAGTTCACTTCCTCCAATATTTTTTAAAATATTTTTTATAAACTAATATATATATATATATATATATATATTTCACATTATTTTCTTTTCATTTCTCGTCAAAAGTCTCTCCATCCAAACATTCAAACACGTGATATGATATAGCAAATCTCAGTGAGAATAGAGGGTGAGCCTCCTAGTTAGGCCCACCAGTAAAAACCAAACAAGATATATACGTCAAAAGTCCAACGTTTCAAGACTTTAAAAACCATTAGACTTGTTAAAATTTCTCAACATATGCTAACCACTTTCACACTAGATCTTTAGCAAACAAGGGAATAGAAGTCTCCGAGAGCCCTTCATATAGAAGATTGGGTTTTAGAAACTTTAGAATGCGTAAGTTATTTTTGAGATTCTCAATCGCTCTTTTTAATTGGGAAGAAGTCAAAAGAAGGAATCATTCTTTTCAAAAAAATATATATATATAAAAAAAGTTAGATTGATTCCATTATCCATATGCAAATAGAATCGTTCTTTTTTGGATTAATTATAAAAAAAATCTTATGATTTTGACTCATCGTAACTTCGTTTTGCCTCATTTTTACGTCATCAGATTTACCTCATGGCCTAATTTTTATTCTATTCTTCATACGCCTTGTTCCACATCTTTTTACTTACTGTCGGAGCTCCGAAAGTTAGCAAAAAATAAGATTTTTCTCCTTTTAGACAAAATTTTCAGATTCAAATCCACATATTTAAATACTTGTATCTCCCTCGTCGTAACTTCATTTCACCTCATTTTTGTATCGTTAGATTCAACTCATGGCCTAGTTTTTATTCTATCCCTCATATGTCTTGTTTCACCTCTTTTTGCATGCTGTCAGATCTCCAAAAGTTGACCAAAATTAAGCTTTTTCTCCTTTAAAAAAAAAAAATCGTTGTGAGGGGTGGAATAATTTTATTTTTTGCCAACTTTTGGAGCTCCGACGGCATGCAAAAATAGGTGAAACAAGGCATATGAAGGGTAGAATAAAAATTAGGCCATGAATTGAATCTAACAACGCGAAATGAGGTGAAATGGAAATACCACTAGGGAGATAGAAGTGTTTGAATATGTTGATTTGAATATGAAGATTTTATCCAAAGAGAGAAAAATCTTATTTTTGGTTAACTTTCAAAACTTTGGCACAGGGCCGGCCCTAGGCATAGGCCCATCAGGCCATGGCTTAGGCCCCTCAAAATACATCAAAAAAATAGACCCCTTCTATTATAGTTTAGTGTAATATATTATGTATGTTTTAACTCCAAAAAAATTAAAGAAGGTCTAAACTAACTTAAAATAAATTGACTCATTTAAAAATTAAAAGACCCATTCAAAATTAAAAGGGGCCACTCTCTCTCTCTATCTAATTCCTAACCCTAACTCTTTTGACACAAATTTTTTGTCATTTACCTTCAAATTTTTTTTTGATTAAACGTGTGGGTTTGAATTTGAAATTCTATCCATATTTCTGTTAGTTTAATATGACGGAGATGGATGGAGGGGTCAAATTGAAACACAGATGAAACTCTAGGATTTAATTTATCGAAATTGAAATTTTAGAATTTAAATTAAAAAATACACGAAAATCTTAAGATTTTAAATTTTTTTTTTTTTAAATTAACCCTAATTTTTATTTCCATACCCGTTTCTTACCATATCATGGGCAGTTAGGTGAGAGTCCATGTGAAGAAGGTTTGAGAGCCCTACTCATTGATCACTCATAATAGGTCATGAATTTAGGCCTAACTCAGATTTGGGCCTTTTAAGGCCGAGCCGGCCCATTTCCAAGGCTAAATGAACCACTGGAAGAGATGTGATGCGACGTTTACAGAGGCGTTAACATCCTCTAAAGTGTATTCTATAGTGATCCATCCAAGCTTTGAGATTAAGTCTCACCAAAACGACGTCGTTTTAGTGTGTAAATTCAAACAAAAAAAAAAAAGAAAGAAAAGAAATTCAGATTTCAAAATTCCCCCATTCAAGGCTTCACTAGTAGGAGCTTCTCTCTCTAGAATCTAGAGAGATAAAACTCCCTGTAGGTGTAACAATGGTGATTTACTGTGTTTAGGAAAGTGAGAGAGTGGTTCTGGTGTTTATACGAGTTTGAGGAAGAGAGTAGGAAGCAAATGGTTTGTGAGAGTTTCATGTTTTTTGGTTCTCTTCAGATAATTTTATGATGAAACCATCCATGGGTCTGCTACTTCGTCGGTTATGAAGGGTCATCGCTGGAATTTGAAATCAGGTTCAATATGCTCTCTGCAAGAGCGTGATTTAGACACTGTTGTTAGGTGCGTGTGAGCGTCCTGGTTTATTGCAAGTCGAAATGTTCTCCTCTCTCTTTCTCTCTCTTCTTTTTTTTTTCCCTGGCTCCCAAGTCTTACCCTTTTTCCACTTCACACACCTAATCTCACAATAAGCCCATCTCTGTTCATCAATGGAGGAACCAGACTCATCCAACAAACCCCATCTTCTAATTCCAAATCTAACATCTCCAATCTACCCAAATCCAAGTAAGTCCTACTCACTCTTTCTCTGCAAATCTCTCTTTGTTGCATTGTTCTTTTTTCTCTTTTCCCTTCCAAAGCCCCTGAATTCATCAACCAAACCATTCTCACTAAGTTCCGAGAAACTCCGTCACATTTTCTTCCAAAATCCCTGAAATCTGATTATTTATTTATTTATTTATTTATTTTTTAAATTACTCATCCAAGCGATATCGTTTCAATGAGGTTTAATCTCAACCCTTAGATGAAATCACTCTAGGAGATCACGATAGGAGATCACCCTAGAGAATACACTCTAGGGCCCCGTTTGTTTCCAGAGATGGAATGGAGGGGATTGATAGTGAGGGGATTAATAGTGAGGGGATTGTTAGTGAGGGTCGTTTGTTTTCAGAGATAGAATGGAAGGGATTGATAGTGAGGGGATTAATAGTGAGGGGATTGTTAGTGAGGGTCGTTTGTTTTCAGAGATAGAATGGAAGGGATTGATAGTGAGGGGATTAATAGTGAGGGGATTGTTAGTGAGGGTCGTTTGTTTTCAGAGATAGAATGGAAGGGATTGATAGTGAGGGGATTAATAATGAGGGGATTGTTAGTGGGGGGATTGATAGTGAGGGGATTAGTAGTGAGGAATTGTTAAATTATTTTTATATAAAATAATAAAACAAATAAAAAAATATAAAAAATTAAAAATTATATTTTAAAAAAAATTTCCAAGACAGCTGGGTTGTACGGCCCAATGGCGTGAGGCCACGTGGCACTGAGAGCGCGGCTGTTAGTACGGCTGTACGACCCTTGACAAGACTACTGAGGCAATGGCCGACCAAATGGGATAGCTCGGCAACGGACCTGGTGACAATCACGCTCGGCCTGTACTGGAGCAACTCGGTGACCGTTAGCTCGGTCATGGTGGTAACCCCAATCACGATTAGCTCGGTTGGGATTAAGGGGCAATTGAGAGAGGAGATTTGCACCGGTTAGTACGACCGAGCTATGGTAACATGGGTCATGACAAACTGCACGGCGCCAAGCTGTTTTCTCTCCTGACGCGGCCCTTCGGCCTGTTTTGCACGACCGAAGAGGTTGGCCGACCAGGCACGATCTAAGGTCTGACCGAGCTGTGACCAGACGTTTGGCAGGACACACGGTGACGTGTGTCAACCAAGCTAAGGGTAGCCCGGGCTAGACTGATTATGGGCGAGAACTGGCATGCCTCTAACCGATTGGCCGAGGTGGACGGACTTCATATAACCGAGAATGAAGGTAGGACGGGGGGAAGCCGGTACGCCTCATGGCCGATCAACCAGGATGGACCGACCAAGAGTAACTCGGCCATGAGAATCAGACTTTCGCTTCTTCCCTGAGGGATAGGTCGGTGAGATACAGCTCGGTTGTGCTGCTTGTGGTGGCAACTCTCCACAAGGGCTAGGCCGGTCGTGGTACTCCGGTTAAGTAAGCCACCTGGGTCAATGGCGTGAGGGAGAGGACATCTGCTCCAAGCACGCGTCAATAACGTTGGGCAGTTCTGCGTGTACTGGTTGGAGGACTAGGCCTTTACACGCGTGAGGTGGTGAGAAGCGAGCACTGCCACCTGTCCAGGGAAGGACAGAAGAGGTAGTGCGCGCATAATCTTGAGGCTGCATGGCCGGCCTAGAAATAGGGGAGGAAGATGAATGTTAGAGGTAAGCAACTTGCGCTATCTGAAACACCCTTTCTCTCTCGAATAGCCTGCTTCTTCCTCAAGTGATTTGACTTGATCGTCGGAGGGTTTATCTGGCACACCACCGCTGGGCAGCTCACCGTTCTCTGTGTTGCCAGGTTAGACACCGTCACGTGAAGCTCGAAGTCCAAAGAGTACGGAAAGCAAAGAATATTTCGCCCCCATATAATTTTGATGAAGCTTAATCCCAACCCTTAAATGAGATTACTCTAGAGGATACACTCTACAGGATCTTAACTGCTTACAGAGGAATACAACTCTTCTGTTGCGGAAGGAGTCCGCGTTTCTCCAACCAATAGAAACCCAGGATTGAGTCATCAAACCAATAAAACGCCTCCACGTGGAAATTCAAAGTCGCTTCAGGCTTTCCTCGTTGATATATCCCAACAAACACCAACGATCGACTCAGTAGAGAGAGAGAGAGAAAGTGATCGGCAGTTGAGAAAACAAACTAAACGAATTTTCTCGTTTCTTCGTTTTCCGCGCATTCTCTTTCTCTCTGTCGCATTCGATCTTGCATTTTCTCGCACTTTCTTGTCCGAGAAAGTTTCATAGCTTTTCCCGATCTGGTGATTCCGGCGGCGTTTGCAAATGGAGTCTCACGGCGCCGGACTACGCCGTGTTCTGGTGCTCGCCTTTTGCGTCGCCGGCATTTGGTCGGCCTATATTTACCAAGGAGTCCTTCAAGAGACCGTGTAAGTCCTCTCTCTCTCTTTCTCTCTCTCTCAGCTCTAATTTGATCTTTGGTCTTGCTGATCAAGTGTAGTTTTCGAATTGTTGTAATTTCGATTCCCTAGATATCAATTTCAATTGTTTAGAGTTCTAGGACTAGAAATTTTAGATTTTTTAGAGTTCTAGGACTAGAAATTTTAGGACTTACATATTTGAATGCTTTTAGTCTGTAAAAATTCATTGTTGATTAATAATAATGATTAATATTTGTGTTGTTGGCTTGGTCATTATCATCTTGTGAATATATCACTCTTTAAAATTGTGATTTCTACATTCATAATGGCATGACTTGTGCATTGCATTTACCACCATGATGCCCTCATTGCAAGAATTTTTTTCCCCAAAATTTAAGTTACACCGGTATATTTGTGGTCTCCTAAATTATTCATGAAGATTGTCAACTGATTACCCTTTTTTTTTTTTGGTAATTGTTATGATACCCTTCAGGTCCACCAAGAGATTTGGCCCAAACAAAGAGAGGTTTGAAAGCCTAGCATTTCTGAATCTGGCACAGAGTGTAGTTTGTTTCATTTGGTCATTTATTAGTAAGTTTTTATTTTTTATTTTTTATTATATTTTTAATCTTAATCTTTTTTTCTTGTCTGTGTGAGTTGTCCCTTTTATTTGGATTCAGATGTTACAGTTAAGTAATTAGTTTAATGTGCTGTTATGGGTCAGTGATAAAGCTTTGGTCCAGTGGTAGTAGTGGCGGTGCTCCATGGTGGAGTTACTGGAGTGCTGGCATTACAAATACAATTGGCCCAGCTATGGGGATTGAAGCTTTAAAGTACATCAGTTACCCTGCCCAGGTATTTTCAATTTGTTTCCATATTGGACACTTTCTATGCAACTCTTTTGATCTATTTGTTGAGAGTTTAGCCCTTCTCCATTGTCAATATCACTTGGGAAATTTTATGATTTTGATACAATTTTTATACCCATGATACCAAAATCTCACAAGTGAACCAATGAGCCAACCTCTCTACAATGTAAACAATCAAGGATAATACCCATTTTCAAACCATAGTTAACCTATCAGGCCAATGAGGGGCCGTTGCTTGCTCTGCAATGGTGAAAGATTAGGTTGTCAAGTGTGAAGACATGGGTTGAATATGAGTTTGGTTGCTTTGTATCTCAATAATGATCTGGTCAGGCTTGTGCTCAGTCCTTGGCACCCACTATTTCTTTAATTTAACCAACACTGGGTGATAGGCTTTAGTTGATTGAAAGGTAAATTGTCTACCCTATTTCTTTAATGCTCTGTTCGATCAGGCTCGAAAGATTCATCTATCAGCTTCCGAATCTGGCATTGATCAGGTATATATGAATGTATTGATGTAAATATTAGAGTATGAATCTCTGATTAGAGGGCTTGATATATATTGCTATGGAATCTCTTCATATAGTTAACCCATGAACCAAACAAAATATAAAGAAAATGGAAATTTCAGTGATATGAAAACCAACCTGATTGGTTTTACCTTTCTTGCCCATTCATTTGTAACATTCTGCTTAAAAACATTTAGTTATATGTCACAGGCTAAATTTATAGCACAGTTTAACCAGCTTTTGAGGGAAAGTTTTTTACCTTTAGCTGCCCCAAACCGGATGAGACATTAACAATTCTTGCAGAACTAGAGAGCTGAAAAAGTGGAATGAGAGCTTGAGATAGCTGTTTAGGTCCGTAGTAATTTGTTCGTAGACACCCTTCTGCTGTTTCATAGGTTTGTTTTATAACCTTTTTCGCCATTTCAGCTACATAGCTACTCGAACCTTCACTATATCACACAAATCTTCCAAGTTTGGTTGAGAACCATTAAAGACACAATCGTTTCGGTGCTTCCATGTAGACCAGAGAATAGCCAAAGGTAAAACCACCCAAATTTTCTTCTCCAGCTTCTTCATTCTACAACCAGACCACAAATTCAAAAGCCCATTCACTGAACCTGGTAACACCCACTACATACCCCACCATCACACAATGTTGGACCAAAGCAACCAAACAAAAGGACAGTAAAGTAGAATATGTTCCATAGTTTCAACCTCATTATGACAGAAAACACAATCAAGATTTGCATTCCCTGTTAGTATTCCAATTCGATGGAGGAAACTAGAAGTTTTAATCTTACCCAGCCAAGACATCCACCCAAAAAATTACAGTTTGGGAGGAGCAAAGTAGTTCAAAATTGAGGCAACCACGGGTAGTATAGGTCCCAGATGTGATTCACTCCAAATATAGACTGATGAATCAGTAAAAAGAGCATATGGGTCTGCATCCCACTTGAGCTCATCAGATCAGGTATTGCATAGTAAAAGTAATACTTAACACACTTCAAAGGAAAAAGCAATAAAAGAATAAAAGAATAAGAGAATTTAAAATGTACAATCACAGAGGATTCTTCATCTCGAAGAATTTATCATGACCTCTTTCAATAAACTCAGCAAGCAGGTGATAGTTTCTTCTATAGATTCATCTTATTAGTAATAGAGAAACTACGGAATTTTTGGTATAGACTAACTTTGGAATTGACACCTGCAATGTGAGATCAACTAGACATATATTCATTGTTGGTAGGTGTGGGAATATGATAAAGAAATTGTGGTTTTCTCCGTTTGCAAATAGATGATGAGAAAACATTCACATGTTAATAAGGAAAAAGGAAGGCACACGTGTTATGTGCCCTGTCCATTCTTTTGTTAGTTAGAAGACCATTTTTTCATTTCAATGGGTGGGAATTTTTATTGTAAATTTCTTTGTTAATCAAATCAAGAATTCATAGCTGTAGTGGTTTCTGTGGTTAACAGATGTGATATTTTCTCTTTATGCAGTGATGCTGATGGGTAGCTTAGTTTATGGTATTAGATACACTTTTCCAGAGTATGTCTGCACTCTCCTGGTTGCTGGTGGTGTTTCTATGTTTGCACTTGCAAAGGTGAGGAATATACCAGTCATTCTATTGGAACTATGGGCTCCTCTTTTCAATTATTGTTTTGGTTTACTTTCTTTTTTTTATTTTTTGGTAGTATGCTGGGCCAAAAGACATAGGTCTGTGCCTGATAAATTTAGTTTGGACAAACAATTGAATCCTTTACTTTTCTCTTGTTTTTAATTGATGTGTTTCAGACTAGCTCAAAGACAATAAGCAAGCTGGCGCACCCAAATGCTCCACTTGGATATGGGTTGTGTTTCCTTAATCTTGCTTTTGATGGATTTACAAATGCTACTCAAGATTCAATTACATCAAGGTATTTCAGTCCAAAAAAACAAAAAAAATTGCTATTGCCAATTATTCTTATTGATTCCGCTGGTGGTTTTCTCATATATATGTCTTGATTTTTCTAATAGTCTGCTAGTTAGGAAGCAATCATAGAACATGCACTTCAAGCACTTTCCCTTTTTTTTTTTGACCCTGACCTTCATTTTGTGTGTGTGTGTGTGTGTGTTGGGGGAGGGAGGGTCATATTTGAGGGAAAATATGGTATGATTATTCTCAAACTAACAAAGAGTGTTGTGTCAGAAAATTTTCAGGAACATGTTTAGAAACTTGTTCACATATCCAATGAAGCTGCTTCTTGTTCCTTAGCATTTTAGAACTCTTTTGGTAATTCAAAATACTTTACACCTTACAGGCTCAAAGCATATCCTGTTTACCCTGAGGCTGTGTTTGGGTTTAGGATCTGAAGAGGGGTTTGTGGAGGGAAAGGAAAAAATGATGAGCTTCTATTTTTGTCACTTTCCCTCTCCCTTCACAAATCCATCCAAATCCTAGTGCCAAACGCAGCCTGAATGTCATGTGAATTTTTCACAACAGGATTTCAGGAAGCTTTGATTTACCATGAAGATAATACTAGGCAGATAATAACAGCCTAGTGATAGTTCAAAGAAATAATGTTCTCTTTGTTAAATATGGTAATTGTATATTCTGTCTATCATATATATCATATTATATTCTTTACTATATTTAAGATTACGATACTTAAGTTTCTCTCCTCCTATGTAAAGGAGTCTTGTATACATTGTTACATAATTATTTAACACAATATTTAATATGATACATATTTCTCTTTCTCTTATATATTGTAACATGGTATCAGAGTTGGGTTAATTACCTAGTACTTTCACTTCACCGGCGGACGGCAGCTTTGCCTTGGCCGCTTGCCGGACCTCAACCCATTCCACTACCATATTTTCTTTCAAAATTGCTTCATGGTGATCTTTTTCTCTGTCCACTAGTTTATTCATATCCCAAATATCTCTATTATATATTTTTTTACTCGCAATCCATTTTTTTGCATGTTTCTGCTCCACTTTGTCTTTCCTTTTGTTTCAACCTCAAATAGATTTCTATCTTCAAACCTATTTGAGTTTGAGAGGGGGATCATGGTGAGCATGGTGACATACCATGTAAACCACCTAAACCACCCTCTATGGCACACTACCCAAGCCCCCCTCTCTGGTGCACTATCCAAGCCGCCCCTTAGTGCATAAACCAAGTCGCCCCTTGGTGCACAACACAAGTCACCCCCTTGGCGTGCCACCTAAGTTGCCCCCTCTGGTGTACAATCCAAGTCACCCCCTTCTGGCGCACAACCGAAGTCGCCTCCTCTGGCGTATCATCCAAGCCGCCCCTTGGCACACCACTAAAGTTGTCCCCTGGCGCACCATCCAAGCTGCCCCCTAGTGCGTTTTCTAATAAGTCGCCCCCTGACTCACTCAGTCATCTATTGCCACTCTCGTTCAGCATCATGTCATGAGTTATGTGTGTGGTACACTTGTTGATTCAACATCTAGTTTTCTACATCGGTCTGGCATGACCCCTTTAAACTATTCCGACATTAATTTCGGTTAGTCTCTACAACGGTCTGACATGACCCCTTAAATTGTCTCGACATTGATTTGAGTCAGTTCCTACAACGTCGGGCATGACCCCGTAATCTCGATATTGATTCCAGTTAGTTCCTATAACGGTCCAACATGACCTTAAATTGTCCTGAAATTAGTTCCGACCAATATCTACAATGGTCTGGCGTGATCATAAATTGTCTCTCAGTATTAGTTTCGACCTGTGATCTATCTCAAGCACCCCAATGCACCCATCTGGACTTTGCCTATTTGCCTCAAATTTATCCATATTTTATTTTATTTCATATTTTAATTTCTCCCTTGAAACTCCAATTGGTATCCCTCCTTGAGTTTGAGGGAGAATGTTAAATATAGTAACTATATATTCTGGCTATCATACATACCATATTATATTCATTGTCATATTTAGAATTACTATATTTAGGTTTTTTTCCTCCTATGTAAAGGAGTCTTGTATATGTTGTTACATAATTATCATACTTAGGTTTCTCTCTCCCTCTCTCTCTCTCTCTCTCTAAGATATTGTAACTCTCTTGATAAACCACCATGCTTTGCTTCAAGTCCAAACACTAGTCATGTCATCACATCCCAAATGTTTTCAACTTTTTTCCTTTTTTCCTTTTTTTTATTCTACATATTATTTTGCACATTGATTAAAGTGCTTGGTGAGTGTTTTCATTGATGCACTCTCAATTGTTTGTCATCAATCTATAATTGCTCGGACACCTTTTCTGAATCAGATTGCTTTCACTTGCTCAGGTACCCGAAGACAAGTGCTTGGGACATAATGTTGGGTATGAACTTGTGGGGTACCATTTACAATACAGCCTTCATGTTTGGATATCCGGGCGCTAGTGGATACGAGGCAGTTAAATTCTGCAAGTTGCACCCAGATGCAGCGTGGGACATTTTTCTCTACTGCCTGTGTGGTGCAGTGGGTCAGAATTTCATTTTTCTAACCATAAGTCGATTTGGTTCTCTCACTAACACTACCATCACTACAACTCGCAAATTTGTCAGCATTGTGGTGTCTTCACTTCTTAGTGGAAACCCGCTATCTACAAAGCAATGGGGGAGCGTTTTCATGGTCTTCTCAGGGTTGTCGTACCAGATTTACCTCAAATGGAGGAAATTGCAGAGATTGCAGAAGAAGAGAAAGCCCATGTGAAGTCCATGATATATTATTGGTGTAACCGTAAGGTTCAATATCACATTTTGAATATAGACGAATGTATCGGAGTAGATCTTATTTTTCAAGTCTCTCTACATATGCAGTTAGGGGAAGTTTTGACATGTCATGAGTTTTAAAACTAGTACCAGTTGGCTTCTGACTGAAATTTGATGTTATTAAATTTGTGATAATTATGTGAGCATTTGTTGTGTATCTATGTGTTTTGGTTTATCTACGTATCTAATGTCTAATAACATCTCCAGAGCGGCTGATGATGTTCCCTTTCTGCAAAAAAATGAATTTTTACTTCTTTTTAAACATCAAAGTGCAATGAAACATCAAACCGTTACTATTATTTTACGCTTAAACAGTACACAATAGTAAGTACACTATAGATAGAGTTAAGAATTAGGGTTGGATGTAGCACATAAAATTAGAGACGGATGGATAAATGAAAGAGTTGCCGAATATTGGATAATTAATAAAAAATATTTTTAAAAAAATGATTGAAATTGAAATGCATATGGTGATATGCACTACTAGAAAAGGGATTATTGGACACGGAGCCTTTTGTGACGGTTTGAAAATTGTCGCAAAAAAATATTTTTGCGACGGTGAAATATTTTTTTTGCGACGGAAAATTCAAGACTGTGGCAAAAAATAGTATTTTATGCGACGATTTGTCACCCGTCGGTATTTGTTTTTTTTTTTTTTTTTTTTTTTTTTTTGCGATTGTTTATTTTTTTTTGTGACGCTGTTTATTCCTCCGTTGCAAAAATAATCTTTTTGCTTCCCGCGCCCTTCATCTTTGCCTTGTCTTACATACACCCTTTCAGTATCCTCTTCTCAAAGCAAAAAATAAAATAAAAAAGGAAAAAAACTGTCTGCCTTCTCCCAGTCGTCTCTTTCCATCTCGGAGCCCTAACAGCACCAGCGTGAGATACCCTTCTCTCCTCTCCTTTTCTTTCCTCTCACACTCGCTCGCACAGACCCTCACAATCTCTCGCTCTTGCGTTACCCTCACAGTCTGTCTGTAGCAGAGGCGGCGGCGGCGACTTCCCACTGGTTCTCCCTCCGGCATTCAGGTAACTCTCCTCTGCTCTCCTCTGCTCTTTTTCTCTTCTTTTGCCTTCATTGGAATCAAACCCTCTTCATTGGAACCATAGAAAGTGGTGCAGAGATTGGAGATTGAGAGAGAGGGGATTGGAACCCTAGTTTTAAATCTATATAAAGCTTAATATTTGCATATTTATGGCTTAAATTTTAAATACTGAGAGATGAGAATTAGCTATCTCAATACTTAATTCCTTTCATACGTGCCTCCTATAATGAACCTCAATTAATTTCCATTGGTTTCCTTGTTGTTTCTTCTTCAGTTTTAATTGAGCATTCAATATGTTTCATTAAATTATCAATTGAATTATCTTCTCGTCTTTTTTTTTTTCATATATATAAGAGTATCTATTGAAAAATTCATATAAGTTCCCAATTCTTTTTATTTTTTATTTTTTATGGTTGCCAAATATTTCTTGCAAGGATTCCTATTGCGTTTCCCAATCAATTTTTTAATAGTTTCTTGTATATTGTCTGACCTCATTTTTAGGTTTACCCTCTAATTTCTCATTTTTAGTTCCTAGTTTGTTAACCGGAAGCATGAACATAGACACAATCATGAACACTGACACAGGCACGAGACAACTATTTTGAAAAAATTAGGATACGGACACGACATGTATACGGCATAAAGAAAATATATTTTTCATCGTTTGTCACTGTACAATGCACAACTCAAACTTGACTCTCAATCAGTGCTGTAAGGAGTAGATAATAAAAAAGATCGGTAAAATACTTCCAGACATTAGCACTTCCGTACTTCCTCAAGCATTTATCATAAAATCCATACCTGAACCAGGGAAGAAAAAATTATGAATAATAATGAGGTTATAGTATTTTGTGTCTTACAAGAAACTATGGTAGCTCTAAGCTGTGTGACACAGTGAAATACCTTTCCAAATTATAGGGAAAGCTACATGAATTTGTTTTGAATCTTATGATATTATTCTATCTAAATAAATGTCTCTTGACTGGTTGGTCATCATCAAAGTCATGACTTATCTCAAACAACAACATTTTGAGCTTTCTCATCGTTTTTGCTTCCCCTTAACTACAAGGCGTCAGTCCTTATTCTTGTAGTAGTATTTATTTTTTGGCGCATAATCAAATCATCTCAACTTTCAATTCAATTGTCCTCCTTGGTATTACAAGCTCCAGCTGTAATACATGCTCCATCTCTAAAACTATCTATAACAACTCTCATGCCATCAATTTTTTTTTTTTTTAAATAACATGGCATCAAATTTAGGAGTAGCACTGTAACATATTGTCAGTGACAGAAAAGACTACACTGTTGAAGAAACAACATGAAAAAGTCGACCTGGCTTCTTTGCAAGGATCAAACACATTTGGTTATCAATAAAAATAAGGCAAGAGATGAAAATGTTTGGCATAAAAGCCTCCCTACTTTAAAACTAAAAAAAAAGTGGTTTCATAGGTTCTATAAAGATAGGGGCAGCTTGAACTTAACATTTTCTTGCAAGATTGAACATATATATTGGAGCAATTACAAGCTTTGAAACAATTAGAGATCAGAAATAAAATTTCAATCACGCGTTTCCATCAAAGGTTGATATTTAGGCTATTTATGAACTTAGTAGACAACCCAAAGCGTACCCCAAAGTATGGCTTCCATGCAAACAAAATAATGCTATACAATTTAGGGCATTATGGAAACTTTGTGACTCAAACTCGACAAGACTTGATTCCAATTACTTAAAATTGAATATTATGAGCAAGACTAATCTTAAATACATGAGCTGCAACCAACATAAGATTGAAAAGGGTTCAAGTTATTATTAAGTATCAAATACCATAAGGTGTCCATTTTTCCGTTAACATATAATCAAGATCCACTAACGAGAGAAAGAACATGAAATTGTTGATACTCAATAGATTTAGAATTAAATTGAAGTAAAGAAGCATTCCCCATGGTTGTCATATTATAAAATGCCCCATCAACACAAAGGAAGAGTTCTAAAAGTCACCTGTAAATTGGGTCATACGAATAGTACAAAAATTGGAGAAGCAAGACACGACAACCAAAATGAGTGACGATATTGAGAAAATTGGGTTAAATGAGTACTTAAGTATTGAAGGAATGTAAACTAAATCATACAAGCAAACTAGAAACAGTTCAAAATGAGAACAAACAAACAGAAAATCATATGTGATAATTGATGCAAAAATGCCACTGACTGCAATTTGTCATAATTTGGTTCAAGTTAAAGGCATTACAAGGAGAACATGAAGACAATGATGGTCAGAAGAGGTGGCATGTTATGTAATAAAAAATTAAACTCTAGTAGAGTGACAGGCGAATAAGGCTCTACGAAGCTAATCAGTTGAAATTTAAGGTGTCATTAGTTTCAGCCCATGACGGTGCACCAAGCATAAGTTGTTAAAAATTTCTTATAGTTTCACGATGCATGGGTCAAATTTAAGAGAAAAATCATTAAGTAGCTTTATCTGGTAAAGGATCCCTTCATTGACATAGATGTTCATTTGCTAATAGCCTGGGGATGTGCATGAAGTATTGACTTTATGATTCCCCTTCCAAAAAGCATATTTACACATGAAACATATGAATTAATACCTTTTTCTATCAGTAACATATGAATTAATACCTTCAAGATGTGGAATTCAAAATGGCATGCATGCTTAAATGTGATATGGAATTCAGTAACATATGCTTAAATGTCTCGTACTACTGCCAAGGTAAAAAATTTGGAAAGAAATAGGTTAATGGAGCAAATTTTAAAGTCTAAAGCCAAGGGTGATGTGGCTACCTGGAAATCTCTTCCCTAGTTGTGAATTTCCTGATTAATGTTAGAATTCCTATGATGAAATTAGCTACAATTTGTGGATATGAACTCAAGTGTTGTGTTTTGACTTTGGACATGTGTGCCAGATGAGGATGCTATCCAAAATCTAGGGCCGGGAACATGCATAAGTTTATGCTTGTGAATTTACTTTATTGACCAAGAACAATGATCTGCATATACGCATGCAGAAGGGCAATGCAGAGCAAAAAAAGGATAAAAAATAATAGTCACGGTGTAGTCTCCTTCGCAAGGAGCCACATATAGCTCACATTTGTGTATTTTTAAGATTACTGTGCACTTCTTATAGTGCTCTGCTGGGACTGCGTGGGTGAAGCAGAGGAGGTGTCATGGTCTGAGATGGAGTTGTGAGCAGAGGAGATCCGTTTTGCTACTGTTTTATTTAGCTAATTTGCTGCTGTGAGCTATGAGCTGTGTTGCTGCTGTGATGCAGCAAATTTGCTGCTGATTTGCTGTTTTGTTGGTTTGCTGCTGAATGCTGGCAAAAATAAGCTTAAATCAATGGATGAGGTCAGATCTCTTTTGAGCTTACGTGCATTGATCTTGAATGGTAGGATCCATCTTGATCAACTGCATCACCTCAGTTTTTAATTTCTGATGTATATATTAATTTTGTTGGTTGGAAAAATACAATTTTAAATTTCCTTATTTCTGCTAATGAATCCCTCTTTGTGCAGATAATGAGATTGTTTCCATTTGCAGGCTTGATCAATTGAAAGAATTGAACACTTTAGGTATGAGTTTTCAGTAATCAATTTCATATCATGTGGATGATATTATTGCCCAATACCCATGCTATGCCACCTATGACATAGAATCACCTCATTGCCAGTAAACTTGCTTAACTTATTTGTTCTTCCAACACTTGTGATAGTCCAGTTGCTGAGAATTTGTATACTTGTGTATGTAAATCAGCTTTAAACTATTCGTTTGTAGATATAATATAAGCATATTATCTTACATGATTTCTATTGTTATCTACAGTCTATATTTTTTTCAGTACTTTACTCTTGGCTAGTACTAGGTTTGTGTCAAACAAGCAGTCATTTTTTGTTTCTCTAAACTGATGGGTATAAGTTTATGCTTGTGAATTTACTTTATTGACCAAGAACAATGATCTGCATATATGCATGCAGAAGGGCAATGCAGAGCAAAAAAAGGATAAAAAATAATAGTCACGGTGTAGTCTCCTTCGCAAGGAGCCACATATAGCTCACATTTGTGTATTTTTAAGATTACTGTGCACTTCTTATAGTGCTCTGCTGGGACTGCGTGGGTGAAGCAGAGGAGGTGTCATGGTCTGAGATGGAGTTGTGAGCAGAGGAGATCCGTTTTGCTACTGTTTTATTTAGCTAATTTGCTGCTGTGAGCTATGAGCTGTGTTGCTGCTGTGATGCAGCAAATTTGTTGTTAATTTGCTATTTTGTTGGTTTGCTGCTGAATGCCAGCAAAAATAAGCTTAAATCAATGGATGAGGTCAGATCTCTTTTGAGCTTACGTGCATTGATCTTGAATGGTAGGATCCATCTTGATCAACTGCATCACCTCAGTTTTTAATTTCTGATGTATATATTAATTTTGTTGGTTGGAAAAATACAATTTTAAATTTCCTTATTTCTGCTAATGAATCCCTCTTTGTGCAGATAATGAGATTGTTTCCATTTGCAGGCTTGATCAATTGAAAGAATTGAACACTTTAGGTATGAGTTTTCAGTAATCAATTTCATATCAATTTCATATCATGTGGATGATATTATTGCCAATACCCATGCTATGCCACCTATGACATAGAATCACCTCATTGCCAGTAAACTTGCTTAACTTATTTGTTCTTCCAACACTTGTGATGGTCCAGTTGCTGAGAATTTGTACACTTGTGTATGTAAATCAGCTTTAAACTATTCGTTTGTAGATATAATATAAGCATATTATCTTACATGATTTCTATTGTTATCTACAGTCTTTATATTTTTTCTCAGTACTTTACTCTTGGCTAGTTCTAGGTTTGTGTCAAACAAGCAGTCATTTTTTGTTTCTCTAAACTGATGGGTATATTTATTGATAAATGAGAAAATTAATTGTATTATGACATTTTAGAAGCTTCAGATGATTTACTGATAGCAACATCATTTATACAACCAATTACCACCTTTGTACATTGAACAAAATATTTCAATTCATGCCAATGATCTGAGATACACTCTATGCATAATAGGGTAAAGTTAAATGTTTAATGGACTTTCAATTTTTTCTTAAGTTGACCTTTCTGTACATGGCTCAAAACGGAATCGGGGGTCCATATGTTCACCTCAGCCCTGTATGTGCACATTGTACAAATATTTCAATTCAAGCCAATGACCTGAAATACACTTTATGCATAATAGGGTACATGTAAATGTTAAATGGAGCCTGAATTTTATTTAAGTTGACCTTTCTTTTCTCTACATGGCTCAAAACTGAATTGTGGGTCCATATGATATATGTTTACCTCAGCCAAGTAGGAAGGTTTCTGAACGATCCAAATGTGGATATAATGATTAAACCTTGCCTCAATGGGGTTTAATGTGTTTGTAACACGATTCTGGTACAACTGTATAGGTGATGGAGAAATCGGAAATGGAACTAATTTTCTTTTAATTATCTTTTCTTTTTTAATTTTAAAAACCAAGCTTGCACAGGATGCACCTTTATTCTTTGTCAAGTCCTGTTATTTCTAGGTGTATGTGACTAGACTAGAGTATGAAAAGCATGAGAATTTCTGAACATGTATAGGTCGTTTTATTAAACAAATCTTGGTTGTGATTATAATTTAATAATGAAAATCTCGTTCTTTATGAGAGTAGTTCTTACAATATACACTGTAGGTAAATGTTTACTTTTTGAGTTTGAGTTCTTTTTTTGGGTTCTGTATAAGTTCTGTCTAGAAATCCAATCAATAAACTTGGAGAGTCTCTGGTCAAGGTGAAATCAATCACGAAGGTAAGCACTTACAAATGGCAAGCTTCAACATCAGTTTACCCTTTTAGTGCTAGGATTGTAACTTATTCATGATTCCAGCTCTCTCTATCTGATTGCCAACTTCAAGCCATTGATTCACTAATGTCGTGCACTGAGTTGAAAGAGCTCCGACTTGCTCACAATGATATCAAGGTATATATATGTTCTGCTTGCTCAGTTTTGCAATACTATGCTCAGTTTCTTGTGAGCTTCAACTTTGTGACTCAATTATGTTTTTTTCCAAGTCATTTTAAATCTTCCCATTTTTCTTTTTTCTTTTGTAGTATTAAGTTGATCAATATTATAGATAATTATCATTACCCTTATCGAAGACAAATAAAATTTAAGTTTTTTTTTTTTTTTTAAATAAAATTTTAACTAGATTGAGTCTTTTACTAATTTATAATACTTATGGGCGTATATTTTATTTTTGTGTTCCTTTTAGGGACTAAACAAGTTTGAATTAAATACTTTAGGGATTTAATAGATTCAATCAATAGTTTAGGGACTATTTGATGTATATACTTTAGGGACTTAATAGACTCAATTGGTAGTTCATGGACCAAGTATATAATTTGGCGATAGTTTAGGGATATAAAATGCAATAAATCCATTTTTAAATTATGTTGTTCATGCTTTGTGTTCTGGGGCAAGTAGGACAAAAAATGCTTAGCTTGTATGCTTCTATCTTTGTGTGGTTTTTGGTGAAAATTGTGGTTCTCTTTTGTTAAAGCCACTTGTATAAATTTGAAATTGAAATTTCTCCGTGGGCTGTTAATTACTGCTTTCCCATTGGGTTTGACATATAGTCTAGTCAAACAAGTCTGTTGCTAGTGCCACATTTAAGGTTGGAGTGAACTAGTTAGTGCCTTTTCTTGTAGGATTGATTGTACTTCGGATTAGATTCATCCTTTGTAAATGATGTTTTTTTTTGTGTTTTTTTTTAGCAGATGCAACTCCTTTTGAGCACGTGATGATATCTTTGCGTATCAATGTTGGAGTTTACTGTTGATATTAAAATAAACTATAATATATATGTTTTTTTTATTTGCATTGTCGATATTTTTTTTTTGTTTTAGATACAAAAATTTAAGTTCTTGAATATCAAAAATTATTAGTATTGTTAGAGAATATTTTATATATTTTTGTAAAGAATATTTGGTTGATAATTGTTACAAATACATATTTACATATGATTTTGTGAATGTGGATGTGGATGTATTTTATTTTAGAAAATATTAATAATTTGTACAGGGAATAAATTAATAAAATATATATTAATTTTATGAAAATAATTTTATTGCAACAATAATAACCGTCACTAATGTAATCATTATTTTCTTACATTTTATTAGCGACGGGTTAATTTGTAGCATATACATATTAGTTCAAATCTTTAGCGACGGTTTAAACTGTTGCAAATATGGTATTAATTTAATTTTTCTTTTTTGCGACGTTTTATACAGTCGCGAATCATGTTTTCGCAATGATTTAAGCTATCACAAATACTATATTTATTTTATTTTTATTTTTTTGTGACATTTTAGACCGTCGCTAATAATACTGTTCGCGATGTCAAATACTGTCGCAAAAATTTTGTTGGAGACGACAACCAATATCGTAAAAGTGAAGTTTTTTCCCCTTTTTTTATGTCAGGTTTAACCGTCGCAAAAATCATTGATTAGCCGTCACTACAAGAATGCGACAGTTTGTAACCGTCGCAAATACTTTTTGTTACGCCTCCCTCTACCATCCCCCATTTCTCGTCGTTGCTCCGTAGCAAAAGACTTTTTGCGATGATATATGGACCTTTTACGACGTTTAAGACCGTCGCAAAAAGTCTAACTTTTGGTAGTGGGATGGGTATAGAAAATGACAATGGTCTACAAAGTTTTTCATTCAATTTGGCTTCACTCCTCTCAGAGTCTCAGCCTCTCTCCCTCTCTCTCTCTCCTGTGTAGATCGTGTGATGAAGATAAGATCAATAGCAGATAGCCTCCTCCTCCTCCGACGAGGGCCACCTCCTTCTCGTCCGACACCTCCGACAACGATGCCGTTGATGATGTTTTTTTTTTTCTCAGATCTCCTCCTCTGACGTTGATGATATATTATATTATATGTTTTTTTTTCTCCTTCTCATCCGAGACCTCTCTTCTCAGATCTGTGTAGTGTGTGTGTGATGTTGATGATGTTTGCTAAGTTCTCTTTTTCTACTCAGATCTCTCTCAGAGAGCTATTTTTCTTTTTCTTTTTTGTTGATGAAGATCTGTTTTATTTTTTTTTATTTGTGGGTGAAGATCAACTCCTCTTCCTCCTCTCGTTTTTTTTTTATTTTTATTTTTTTATTTTTCTGGAGTTAATTTTTTTTGAAGATCTGTTGATTGATGATGTTGTATTTGAGCTGAAGTGGGTTGTTAATGGCCGGGGATTTTCGGGGTCGGGGAAACCCGATCCCCGTTAGGGGCGGGGGTGGGGGCGGTAGTGGGATCCCCGTCGGGGATCGGGGCCGGGGATGGGGGGAAGTTCGGCGATCGGGGATCGGGGACGGGGAGGGTGATCCCCGGCCCCGCCCCGCCCCGTTGCCATTCCTAATTTAAGCTATCACAAATACTATATTTATTTTATTTTTATTTTTTTGTGACATTTTAGACCGTCGCTAATAATACTGTTCGCAACGTCAAATACTGTCGCAAAAATTTTTTTGGAGACGACAACCAATATCGTAAAAGTGAAGTTTTTTCCCCTTTTTTTATGTCAAGTTTAACCGTCGCAAAAACCATTGATTAGCCGTCACTACAAGAATGCGACAGTTTGTAACCGTCGCAAATACTTTTTGTTACGCCTCCTTCTACCATCTCCCATTTCTCGTCGTTGCTCCGTAGCAAAAGACTTTTTGCGATGGTATATGGACCTTTTACGACGTTTAAGACCGTCGCAAAAAGTCTAACTTTTGGTAGTGGGATGGGTATAGAAAATGACAATGGTCTACAAAGTTTTTCATTCAATTTGGCTTATGCGATTCCAATTGAGATACATTTGTGTCTAACTAATCACTTTGTGTTAAATTAATTCAATTATTAATACCTTAAAAATTTTGACCAAAAGTCGTCACATATCTCTCATATGATTTGTCATCCTCCTTGTAACCTCTACACTTCAAGACGGAGCGAAGATTAAAAATAAATAAATAAAAAGCCACATAATGATAACTCACTCAATTCACAATATGCACATAAGGGTGTAAAAATGGTCCGCAGCCTATGGGCGGTCCAAAGCCTGCCCACGGTTCGGGGTGGGCCTAGGTCTGAGTCCAACCTGGAATCTTGGGCCTAGGTCGTCATTTTAAAGCCCGATCCATCCCGTGGGCCCGATCTATCGTCCCGTTGAAAGCCTGGATTGAGGTCTGGTCCGCTCGAGACCCAATGTCATTTTTACTGAAAAAGAATAAAATTTTATGAAAAAAATAAAATAAAAAAAATGTTTAGGCCTACCTAGACCCGGCCCAAGCCCAAGACTATCAGGCTGGCCAACGTTTGAATACCCTTGGGCTTGGGCCTAATTTTACCGACCCGGCCTAATTTTTTTTGGACAGAAACCCATGTGGCCCGACATGGGCCAGCCCAAGCCCAGACCTGGGTGGTTCGAGCTGGATCAAATTTATATCCCGATATGCATATGTGGCTTAGGCAAGTCATATTGTCATGAAAAAAAATAACTATTTTCTAAGCTGAAAATGGCTTGGTAGTTTTTGTTGCCATCAATATATTGACAGTGAAACAAATTTCTTGAAATGGTACCACCAATTTTTTAAGAACTTTTAATGGCTGAGGAAAAAAAGTGTATGATATGAATTGGGATAACATACAAAAGTCAAAAAGTTACTAAAAAAAAATGAAAAAGTTTGGGGGAAGTTTAGAGGGTAAAATTATTAGTTTGCTCTTTAAATTCAACTACCCAAAAGTCAAAAACTTAAAATTCAAAAAGTCAACAAGGGTAGAATGCTCATTTTGATTTTACTACAATAATTTATTATACATCTTTTCGTAAAAATTCAAAAAGTTATTCCAAATATACATTTTTTTGGTCTACTTTTTAGCTAAAAAGTAAAAATTACACATTCTAAACAATCCTTTTAAGGGTTGTTCGGCCTTGGCCAACTTATGGCCTTGGGATGGGCTAAGCTCAGGCCCAGCTTGAGGAAATTTGGGCCTAATATGTGGCCCAATTCTAAGACAGCATAAGTTGGGCCGAGACCCAACAGATCGGCCAAGCTTGGGCCAGCCAACGGTCCTTAAACCAACATTCTCCCTCTTCAAAATTCACAACCTTTATTGATTTGTCCATGCCATGCATGCAAGTTTGACTCTAATTACTCCAGCCATAATAGCAAAGAATAGTGGCAATGTAAGAAAAAATAACCTATATAAAGTAATGAACTATTAACTGTGTCATAAAAAATCTATCTTTAGAAAATCTATGTTAAGGTACACAACAATATGGCATTAAATAGTTGTGAAACACAATTCGCAAATTTTATTTTATTAACAAAATAAAAGTTAAAAAAGAAATTACAAGCACGTTGTCTCTTATTTTGTCGCAATATTTATAAAAAATGGTAGAATTCACCAACGTTGTAATCACAAGTTGCAACTTCTTCGGACTACTACTATCAATCGTCCCCATCGCCAGTGCTACATACATCTTCATCAATGGCCCTGTATCATGCGATGATGAATCCCCGGTAGTGACCATGGCACTCGGAGTTTTCATTCTTGTCATGTCGGTGGTGGGGTTGATCGGTGCAACAGCAAAATGTAGGGTTTTGATGTTGACTTATCTATGGATGTTTTCTGTGGTGATTGTCATGGCCCTTTGCATGACGACAATCACTTTTGTGGTGACAAGCAATAGTCCTGCGGATGTAGTCAAAGCCAGCAGAGGGTACAAACTCAAAGAATTCATGCCATTGTTCACAAAATATATGGTGAATGATGGGAAATGGGTTGATGCCAAGAACTGTATGATTGAACAACATTTCTGTAAGATTAGGCTCCTTAATGCTACTGATAATGAGGTGGAATATACTAAGCAGGTTTGCTTTTTATTCTCTTTAATTTCTCACTTTCATATATGTGTTTATGCGTTTGTCTGTCTTCATATTTTTTTAATTTTTGCTACTAGTAGTAAAGTATAAAAGATTCTGGTGTTTATTTTCGTATTGACCTAAGTTCATAAAGATAGGTTTTAGATTACAAAATAACTTTATTTTTTGTTTTCTTTTTGAATCTCATCATCAACAGAATGGAAATTTTGAATAACTTGAACTTTACACTTAGCCTTTTCATTTATTTTCCTTTTAGGTTTCAAATTTCACGGAGTCTATAGGGTTATATGGCTTGTTAATAATATAAAAATTATTGGCACTTATGAATTTTTTAATATTTTTTTTACAGATATTTTTACCCAATTTTAGCCTCAATGCATTATTCAAATTTGACTTTGTCCATGTCTTTTTTTGATGATGCTATCAACCTAAATGTTACTTGGTCCAATTTGACATGGTCAAAAGAAGAGTCAATGTCAATGTTATATTGAGTGTCAACTTACAAAAAATTTCAATATAACATGCACAATGAAATAACTATTCGAGATTGAATTTGTTGTTCTATTTATGAAAAAAAAGAAGAAGTCATCACTAAACTCAAAGGTAAAAAAATTAGTTATGCGAAGCATATATATATAATATTACTTTCCTGCAAGACATGTAACAAATATTTTTATCATTCTTCATTGTGAAATAAATATATTTTTTTATCATTCTAATTATTCTTTGTTTTCCATCACAGTTCGGTTGTTGCAGACCTCCACCCCAATGTGGTTTTGTGCCGCGTCAAAATGAAACCTCATGGGAGCTGCCAAAAAAGGGTCTTGCTTCCAAGGACCATGACTGCGTTGCTTGGAGCAGCAACCGCGACAAGATGTGCTATGACTGTGAGTCATGCAAGGCTGGCCATGTCGCTGCACGTGTGATTGAACTTCATGGTGATTCCGGCTTCTGCATTGGCTTCCCCATCTTCCTCTTCATCATCTTCGGCATTGCTTACTGTGCCTTGAGAAATAGCAATCAGAAGTGTAGAGGCTGTGTTTGATCCACCATTTTTTATAATTATTCTGTAATGAAAACTTATGTTTAATTCAATCCAAATGTGGTGTTTTACTAATAATTGTGTCAATTTTGTGATTTATATGATTGGAATATTGTTTTATTGGAATCAAATTGAGTGAAGATTATTATTATTATTATTATTAGTTTTTGTGGGGGTTTGTAGTAAATTAAGTCCCATTACCTTTAACTCAGGAATTGTTTGGGAAATAATTTTTTTAATGATTTGTTATACGAAAAAACGTATAAAAAATAGAAAGAATAATTTGACAATTTGTATGTGATTTTTTTAACTAAAAACCTTACTTCCCAAGCATCCCCTCAAGATACTTTGTTGATTTTTAATTTTTTCTTTTTTAAAAAAAAAAAAAAAAAGAAGTTAAGAATGTCTTTAAAATTTTAACTAACATTTGGACTGATTTGTCCTTAGTGGAGAATTTTAAAATTGTTTACCACTATTACCGGGAAGCGAACAAATGGGCTAATTTGCTAGCTAGCATATGAAATAGGGTCTTTTGGAAAGTGGATTATAATCTGATTATAATCCACTTCTCTCTTACAAAAAGTTGATTATAAGATTATAATCATCTTCTCAAAATAATCCACAACCTGAATTTTAGCATCGGAAGGATTTAAGAATTTAGTTTTTCATCACTGTACCTTATTGTATTAGTAGTCAACTGGCTTTGAATGCCAGATCAACTTATTGCACTAAATTTATTTAATATATTTTAGCTCATTTCTACCCAAAAAAAGGAAAAAGGAAAAAGGAAAAAAATAGTGGCAATGTAAGAGAAAAATCAAACAGATAAGTAATCAACCATCAACTTCTTGTCATCTAGAATCTATCTTTGGCAAATCTATGTCAAGGTACAACATATAGCAAATCTATGTTAAGGTCCAACATATGGCATTAAATAGTTGTGAATCCAATTAAAAACAACTCACAAAATTTTATGAAAAAGAAGAAGAAATAAAAAAGTCACAAGTACATCTGGTCTCCGTCATTGTAGTATTTGTTACAAATGGTAGAATTTAGCAACGCTGTGATCACAAGCTTCAACTTCTTTGGATTACTACTATCAATCATCCCCATTGCCAGCGCTACGTACATTTTCATTAATGGCCCTGTATGGTGTGACAATGAATCCCCGGTAGTGACCATGGGGCTTGGAATTTTCATTCTGGTCATGTCGGTGGTGGGGTTGATAGGTGCAACCGCAAAATGTAGGGTTTTGATGTTGACTTATCTATGGATGTTTTCTATGGTGATCATTATGGCCCTTTGTATGACGACGATCACTTTCGTGGTGACGAGCAATAGCCCTGCTGATGTAGTGAAGGCTAGCAGAGGGTATGAACTCAAAGAATTCATGCCATTGCTTAGAAAATATATGGTGAATGATGAGAAATGGGTTGAGGCCAAGAAATGTATGATTCAACAACAGTTTTGTAAGATTAGACTCCTCAGTGCTAAGGATAATGAAGTGGAATATACCAAGCAGGTTTTCTTCTCTTTTCTTTAATTTCTTTCTTTCACATTTTGTGTTTTATAATTGTGTGTGTCTTCATAATTACATACAATGTACAGTAGGCCTAAGGTTTTTGGAGGTCTCTCAAAAATATCAAAATGAGGCCCTATATAAACTTTTAAAAAGTTAAGATCTTGGACAATAAGAATTTTTTGAAATTTTCTTCTGAGTCTTAGACAACAGTTTAAGTAACTTAATGGGTCTTAGACAACAGTTTAAGTAACTTAATGGGTCTTAGACAACAGTTTAAGTAACTTAATGGTTGAGTCATATTTATTATAAAGACTATTCATGTCTCCCTTCTCATAAGGAAGATAGCCCTCAAGGCTTATGGGACCAATCTTTCTTGTAAGGAAAGAGAACCTTAGGCCACATTTACAAAATTTAGAACAATTTGATTTGAAACGAATTTCTCTAATTAAAAAAATATATATGTATATATATATAAAATATTGTGACAAAATTTCAAACAACTATCTGCCCCTGCTTTATATATATATATATATATATATTTGTATAGGCCATGCTTGTAATCATCAAACATAGAAGGTGAGAGATTTAATGCATGTGGACGAGGTTAAGTGCTTGCTAGCTAAAAGCTTGCATCCTTCCCTATCATGATTTTTCTACTTTACTTTAGTCACATATTATGCGCTTGTAATCATCAAACATAAAAGGTGAGAGATTTAATGCATGTGGACGAGGTTAAGTGCTTGCTAGCTAAAAGCTTGCATCCTTCCCTATCATGATTTTTCTACTTTTACTTTAGTCACATATTATGCAAGTGATGAACATGTTATATATAAACAATTTTTATATGAAATCTTTTAACTATTAAATAAAAAATAATGAATCTCACACATATTTATTAATGTGAATTTTATTATCTTTATATCTAATAATGAAAAATCTTTCTAAAAATTTCATTCATACATCATTAAACAAATATATAGGAAGCTAACTATGATCTCTTCATGTTCTCTAAAGTGCTTTAAAAGATTATCTTCAATGACAAAATAAGAAGAGATTGCTTAATTGTGACTCAGTTCGGTTGTTGCAGGCCTCCACCCCAATGTGGTTTCGAGTGGCGTCCGAATGAAACATTGTGGGTGGTGCCGAAAAAGGGTCTTGCTTCCAAGGACCATGACTGCGTTGCATGGAGCAACAACATTGACAAGTTGTGCTATGAGTGTGACACATGCAAGGCTGGCCATGTCGCAGCGCGTGTGATTGAATTTCATGGTGATTCCGGTTTTTGCATTGGCTTCCCCATCTTCCTCTTCTTCATCATCTTTGCCATTGCTTACTGTGCCTTGACAAATAGCAATCAGAAGTGCAGAGGCTGTGTTTGATCCACCATTTTTTATTTATTTATAATTATTTGCAATGAAAATTGAATATGCTTAATTGAATCATTAGTATGAGTTATTTTTTGTATTGGAAATAATGTGTCTACCTGATTCTGTAATATTTGGTAAATAAAATGTATGTATTATCTACGTATGAAATTTCTTGAAATCAAGAAAGAAGATTACACTAGTAGCTGAACTCTCTTCCCATTCCTCCTGCCCTAACCTAACTCCAAAATAATTATAATATTAATTCAATGGTTATTGCATAGTTTTTTAAAAAAAATAAATTTATTTTAATGAGAAATGCTAGTGATTAAAAAACAACAGAACCAACCACAACTCCATTCACAAGTCATATGAATTCCACTGTGGGCTCATGTTGTGAATTCCACTTTGGCTGACAGTCAATTTTCTCAAATTTTTATTTTTAATGAGCTTTTTTAAAGGAATGCTTAAATAAATTGTACTTTTTAAATCTATCTAGGTTAAGCAAATCATAAAAATAAATAAATAAATACATTTTTGAAAAAAAGTCCAACCAAAGATGAAAAAAGAAACTAGATTTGAGATTTTTTTTTTTATTATAAAATAATGGTTTTTTCTTTTAGTAGACTATTTTAAAAACTTTATATTGTTATAAGTTTTAGAATAATTTAGTCTAAATAAACTTAAAAAGTAAAAAAATCAAATTTAAAATTGAAAAAGTTAAATAAAACCAAAAAAAGAAAAAGAAAAAAAAGAAGGGCCAACTTAAAACTTGATGCTAAATGAGACCTTGTGATTAATTCTATAATTATTTTTGTATATGTAGTAATATTTTCTTGTAAGTCAATTTGTGTTGTTCCCTTGTTCTGTTATTGACAAAAGAATGGACCCAGTGGTAATCCTTGCCCTTAGTTGAAAGAAGTTCATGCATTAAGGTTCTTGAGTGGTTGGGCCATAGCCAGGGGACCATGCAGACTCTCAAATTACCTGTTTATCCTAAACTCAAACCATTGAAATGGATCATAGGAAGGGCAAACTTGTCATCTTATACATGCCTAACATCAATTAGGATGAGAGAGAGAGAGAGAGAGAGAGAGAGAGTCCACTTTATTTTGTAGAGGGTTCCCTCCCAACTTTTACCAGTAACTTTTGCTTTGTTCATAATCACACTTGTCCTCCACCACCACCGCTGACCGGTTTAAATACACCACATTCCTCAGACCCCTCCTCCCCCACATCACATTCCCACTTGAAGAAGATCTCAGAAAAATGAGAGACAAAGTCAGAGAAATGGGCAAGTTCCCATCCCATCTCATTGCCAGAGCCAGACCCCATAAACATGAAGTTTCACCTCTGTAAGTGCCATTTTTTTAAATATTTTTTATCCTGCTCTTATCTTTAGTTTCCAGTATTACTAGTTTCCAGTTGTGTTCCATCATGAATTTGGATAAAAATTTGTCAAGAGAAAAGCACTGAGAGGGAATGGGAATTGTCAAAAAATTTATCTTATATTCGTTAACATTTCCCTCAACCCAAATCTAATAGTGTTCTTTTATTCCTTCCATTTATGCTTCTCTATGTTTACTCTGCTTCGGATTTCTTTCTTTATCTTCAAAATTTGTTTCTTACATTAATCTCAGATCAAAAACCAAAAAAAAAAAGAGAGAGAAGAATAAATTCTATGCACACAAAACCCATATCACATTCTCCACTCCAATCAATATAAGTTACATTACATGAAAATATGTGTGAAAAAAAAAAAGAAAAAGAAAAAGAAAAAAAGAGTAAAATTATTCTATACCCTCTGCACACCTAAGAACCACAAATAGGAGATCAATTCAAATTCTTGATCCTCCTTTTTTTAGTTTTTGTTTTTCCTTCTTCTAGACCCCCTCCCTAAGGGGGTAATATAGTCGAGATGACGATGTGTAATTACAATCTGAAAAATAGTAGGAAATAAAACAATGCTGGTTCTGTACAAATGACAACTCAAGAACAAAAACTTGATTGGGACCCGGAATACCCACATCTGAATCCCAGAACAAGATTGAATAAAATGGAATGATGACACACTTCAAAGGCTGGCACACTGAAAAAATTAACGCAAGTATTAGGGTTCTAAGAGAACGCAGAACATATTGTTAGATCTGTCAGGGAAATGCCAGAATACACCGTAGCATTCTGGATTTGAAACGCAGATCTTAGTAGGCCTCTCTTTGTAAAAGAAATCAGGTTGCAATGACTGCGATCCGAAGGGAAATGAATTCGAAAAAAGAGAAGGAAAAAGCTCTATATGTCGAAAATTTCAGGGTAATTTAGTAATTATAGTGGCTGCAAACCTTGCAGAACTCGGTATTGTGAGGTGGATCAGTAAGGTTGATCATAGGCTTTGGAGGAGAGCCCGTTTGCACGATGGAGGTTGTGAATAATTGGTACTAGGATTTGAGGATTGTGAGTCCATTCCAAGTGCTTTCAATAGGAATTGCCTCTCCTGAAAAAATGCATCAAAATGTATGTAGTCAGTTAATACAAACTGGCATGAAGGTATATTCAATTAGCAGAAAGCATGAAAGAGTAGCATAATTCACAAACTGAAGTGGTGGTAGGTAAGAAGTGCATGTGACACAAACACACTAACACAACAATTTTAGAAAAATGCAGGACACGGCATGTAAACACTTGACTATCCTCTGTAAAATATAAACCATTTAGCAGTGGCTTAATCAGAGCATGGGCCAGACAGCATTCAGGCCACTGCTAGAAACAATTGACCATCTTTTAAGTCAGATATCAAAAGTTATGCTTTAGTCTTTATACTTCTTTAAGATGATTTTTTGTTAAGCATAATAATAAGTTTAGTCCGGTTAATAACAGAAAAGTTAGATATATAAGCAAGCATGTTGAGTGTTGAGTCATTTGTAGCATTTTTGGAGTGGCCATCTGTTCAAATTAACCTACACCGTTTTCTTCTTCTTTTTTGTGTTTTTGTTTTTTTGTTTGTTTGTTGATTGCATTGAGCATAAAAAGCTCTTCAAGAGCTACAACTGAAACTGGAATGGGCATTGAACAAAGGGTTTGCACAGAGAGAGAGAGAGAGGTAATTTCAGGGGTGATGGCTGCCTTACAATTAGAGTGGGCGCTTGGAAACTAATTGCTCTATAATTCAAAGGATATCATATGACCATGTTTACTTAGAAAATGAGAAAAACTAGTAAATATATAGGAGTGATGATCTGTTTCTATAATTTAAGGGGTGATTGCCTTACATGTATTGTTTCTAATTCTTAATGGCTTGCATATATATATATATATATATTCTTACAACTAAGGGTGTAATACTAATCCATCATGGAAACTAATTGGTATCATAGAAAGTGTTTATAACTGAGAGAAATTTAACTAAATAATTATTAGTTATTAAGTCCAGAAGATCCATAAGCACGTGTTTCTTTTTTTTTGTTTGTGATATTCTTGTCAGACACCAGTGCATCACCTAGCCTGAAAATCACCAAGCTATAAAAGTTAGAAGTTAGCAGTACTGCAACAAGATCATTTCAAACTCAACTCAACAAGCCCTTAGTAGCAATTAATTGGGAATAACTACACGGATCTGTTTCATCCAATTGGCTCTACTACAAAGACAATTCAACAAGGTTAAACTATTGATTAAAAAGAACCGGCTCAGTTATCCTAGTTTAATTCCTATCTTAGCAGAAGCTACTCATAAGTTTAAATTTATGAATCTCTGCAGCAAGGTAGCCAAGTCAGAATTTTGATAGAAGTCCTTACTTGGGTTCATGAGACACATAGAAAAGTGTTTTGTTTGTTGACTTCATGCTAGATAACATGGCACTTACCCATCTTGGAATCATTTCAAAAAATTTCCTAATTTTTTTTTTCCAGATTTAGTCCTATGCTGTGAACTTTCTTAAAATTAATACATAGGTTATACGCATCTCTCTCTTCTTTTAGATGTATTTCTAATTGATACCAATGGCAAGGTGCGTGCAAGTTGATTAAAGTTCATGATATTCCACAGCTAGACATGAATTAGATCATTTCATTTTTCAAAATTGAACATTTGCTTAGTTTATTCCAGCAAGTTGGCATAAGTTAGGGTAAGTGCAAGATAATAATAATGCTTTGTCCGCAGATGAGATTTTGCACTAGGACAGTTAGTGATGTTGCATCTACTGTTGGTATGCTGCTAATGTTGATGCTTCTCTATCAACATAAAACTGCTACTGATAAATAAAAATCAGGACTACTACCATTTCTCTACTCTTGCTGCGTTTGATAATGGCATGACAATCAGCAGAAATAAGGTCCTATTAGTAGACACTATATTACTTGTTTGAAATGCACTTTAAATCTGTGTTTGTGTGTGTGTGGCTTGGTGACATGAAGCTTACTACTTGCCTAATAATCAGCAGATTGTAAGATAAGATGACTTACACTTTCTGAAAATTTTGGGCTGGGAACACCAGCAGCTAGTGATCTGAAAATTGGGGTTACTTGAAGAGGAGAACCATACTCGGTACTTGAGAAGACAGAAATGACTCCATCGCGGTCTTTTAGATCCTCACAAGACGGTAACATATCTGCAAAAGAAAATTCACCAGAAAAATACTTTAGGATTCTATCAAATACATGATTTGAAAATATCTATCAGTCCTCATTAAATATAAAGATAAAGTTACCTTGATTCGTGATTGCACCAGAGAGAATTCCATTTTCACAATCACCAATAAAAATTTGGTCTCCTATATGGGTTGATTGTGATTCAGCTACACTGTCAAGATGTAGTGCACACAGCTCCTCTCGACTCTCTTCCATCTTATCACCTGCAGTCTGGGAGAGGAGGGTTGATCCTGTACTGTACTCAGAGCTGTCTGGGGACTCCTCATATAAATCAGGTTGCCTACAGTAACAATCAACTAGATTTTTATTACGAGTAAAAACTACTTGAATCTTAATATTATACACTTATGTTTGTTACCTCCAAGATGGATGACTTCCCTCACTACTACTTCTTAAGTCCTCTACCAAGTCTTTAAAATTTTCTAATTGAAAATCCATATCAGATATGCTAATACCAAGCATATCACTCCCTCTGTTTTGGTTGAGAAAATCTTGGAGAACCTGAATATCAGATTTGGTTTATATTAGGCAATATTCAAACACTAAGGGCATCATATATGATTTACTTTATCTGCAATTTAATCAGGAAATCAATAAGACCATGTGGCAATTGGTACGACCCTACTTTTGGCACATGTCTATGGATTGACAGCATCATTTCAACCTTTCTTGAAGGTATGATGGAAGGAAAAGCAAAAATAAACCCTACTAGATAATTGCATCTGTTGTTATAAGAAATATCCAATAAGTAGACAAGTGAGAGAAATGCATTGGTATTATTGCTCACAATCATTCACATTAAACTGACATTGGATGTGTTGAATGGGCCAGCCTCAGACATTCATAATTATGTATTGATAGCAGAAACCAAGCCGGTGATCCCTACTGTTCCTCACCTTCCATGTGTTTGCAAGACTCTGGTCCATATTCTCTGTATTAACTTTGACTGCAAGCGAGCTGAGCAGTTCTGCTTGTTGCATCAATGCAAATATCTTTGGATCATCCCTTTTAAGAAATGTTCCTTGAATCTTGTAACTGCTAGCTGCTCTTGGAAAAGAAAGGAAGTTCACATTATTACATCATTTTAATCATGGAAAAAAAAAAAAAAAAAAAAAAAAAATCAGACTTGTATTGTTAAAGTATGAAAATGACAAACATTTCTATGGCCTAAAGTAATTGATGCACTTAGATTATACATTTTCTACGGCTTTAGTTCATTTATCAAAGAGTTTGGTGGATTACCATCATTGGAGATCTCCTTGGTGGTGTTGATATGATTCTGAGTGGGCAGGTCACCCACATTGTGCAAGTTTTGCTGAAGTACTGAAAATGGAGGCCTTAGCTGCTGACTTCTTGTTGTTCCACATTCCTCAAGCAACCTTTCTCCACGCGTGCAGTTTTCTGTGAGATCAGAGATATGGGTCCTCCTAAATCATGACAACTAAGAGTTATTTTTGTAACATTTCAACTTGTTGGCATTCACTTGGAAATGAAGGCTAGCTACATCAATTGTACCTCAACTTCTTCAGAGGTGTAGCATTTTCTGATATTCCAGCTGTGCTCGACCCATTTGGAAAGATGACCCTTTTGTTGTTTGGATTGATGTATGAAGTATTGTTCTCTTTTGCTAAGGCTTCATGTTTTGCTCTTTTCTTACACAGGGTGGAGAATCTATTCTTCACAGCATTATCAGTTCTGTGTGAGCATGGCAACGAAGAAATTAAACTATAATTACCATAAACTTTTCCACCTGCAACAGAAAACAAATATTTAAAATTTTATATACCTCCCTGAAACCACCTTTGCTATTTCAGTCCATCTGTTACCAAATATTTTTTGAGCCTGCAGTTGAGCTTAAGGTATTAGATTCCCTCATAAGACAACAACTAAATGCTTATCTAATCCAAAATATAATATGGTATTTTCTGTTGGACTTTTGGGAGACAACAAAACAATTCTTTATAAGTCTGGCCGAAGTATAGATTTACTCTGTTTTCCTTTAAACTCAGAACTTACTGATACTGTCAAAGCAAGCAAATCAACTAACAAATGGTTGATCAAAGAACACATAGCTAAAAACAAAATCCCAATAATTGCATTTGAAAGGTAGACTACCTTGTATTGATATGCAACTTTGAGTTCAAAAATTTACCTCACATAAGAGCAAGTCTTCCTCTGGAGACCATCCCCCCTTCTTGAAATCAGAATTCAAATAAGTGTACCATCTGCAATAGTGTCATTACATCCAATCAGAATGAACTAAAAAACAAAAGAGCAAGAATTATTGAAAGGACAATATATAGGATAATATAGGATAAATGTAAAAAAATCAATTTTTTTTTTCTCTTCCTTTTCTAAACAACCTTCTTCGGCATTGTCTGGTTGTTTTGTCCTTGAATTTTGATGCAATGATAGTCCAACTGCAAACATACATTCCAATAAAAACCCATCAATTTCATTCATCAATACCACAAAAATGAAGTATGAAAATTGATTAGCAAATCCATACTTTTCAGTTCCATGAATACGAATTTGCTCACGAAGTATATCATCCTCCTGCAAGTCAAGTAATCCATGCATTGAATATTAGACAAACCGACCAGTCAAGCGATTAAGAGAACAAAACAGAGGAAGCAAAGAAGAAGGGCGAGACCTCTTGGGACCATGAAACTATGTGACGCTCTTTTAGCTTGGGAACTTCTTCATTACTAGTACTCTTATTCTTCTTCATATTCTGCATTGCTTCTTTGCTTTTTCTTCAACCGCGTTCCTCACTCCTCTATCGTGCTCTCGCATACTAAAGTAAGAGACTCTTTTGTTGTGTTTTATAACACTCCAATCCAAACCAAAAAGAAACTCGTTTTCCTTCTCTCTCTCTCTCTCTCCCCTTTTCTCTTTACGGATATACTTTTTTGCTTGAAAACGGAACACAAAACACAATCAACAAAAACACTATACGTCTTTTACCCTCTTCCAAAACGAAATTGCCTCGGATTCGAACTTTTCTACTCGCCTTTGCCTTTGATCTAAACATTCACAGAATCCAAATTAGGATTCAAACAAATACAAAAACAAAACACTAATCGCAAAAAATGAAAGCTCGTGATGGTACTTTTTTTTGAACCCACAATCCTATCGAAAGATGGTACTTTTTTTTGAACACACAATCCTATTGAAATAGTAAACTTTTTACTGAGAATCCAAATTAGGATGGATTCAAACAAATCACAACAAATACAAAAGATTAATCGAAATGGAAGCTCGTGACATGCTTTGCACAGTATCGATCTATTAATGATCGTATTGAAACAGTGATATTTCCAAGTCCTCGAAATTCGAGAAACAGAGGACCTCAGCTCAGCTCAGCTAATATGTATAATGTATATACGAATTGGGAGAGTTTGAGCTTGGGAGTGATTTGCCAAAGAGATTGAGAAAGTGACCTCTTTTTTGTAAACTGTAGAGATTGGAAGAAGGGGAGAGAGAGAGAGAGAGAGAGAGAGAGAGTTGAATGATGATCGGTTGATTTGGTTAATTATCTGTTCTCTCTCCTCTTTTTCTGGCTTTCTCTCTCTAGAAAGTATTTAAAATAATCAACGGATCCTTTGCTTTAGAGCGCGGGTATGAAGGGGAAGTTTGAAAAAAAAACGCTGAATTCCACGAGAGAGAATGAATGCGCATGTATTTTATTTATTATTTATAATTTATGTATTTATTTTATATATATTATTATTATATACTCTCTGTGAATTGGAATTGTGTGGATGTCTCTCACTGTTTGTTTGTTTTGAATACTTTTACTCTGTTTTTTAGAACTTGACATTCTTCGTCACCCAACATTACTTGATAAATTATTTTTTTACTGTACAATTGAAATATTAATATGTGGATCAATTTCATTTGAGATGTGAGTCACACAACACATAAGTTTTTATGATAATGTAGAATTATTGTTATTTTTGTCTTAGACATCTCTCTTATTGGAGGGAGAGAAGCAATTTTTGATTTTAAAAAAATGAATGGCTACCAACGTCCTATATAGCAATTTTCATGTTTCAATTGTACTGTTATTGATATTTGATCATTTTAATTTTTTTTTTATATAAATATTCTATTGAATGAGTAATAAAATGTGAATAGATTAGATCACTAATGTCGGTCCAAAAATGAGCTTACCAATCTTAAGTTGGAAGACCAATTTGAGAGAATTCAATCCCATTGAACAAGATAATTTTGTTGGACTGATTGGCTAATGATCTCATTTTGATGATTCAATACGTTCATTTTATAACTTCTAATGCGTAGATTATCTACTAAAAAAAAAAAATCAAATTGAGGAGTGGTTTGGGATTTGACTTTTTATGAGATATGAGTTGAGGTTGAAGTAATGTGGTAGAGAGGTGATGTGACTTAAAGAAGATGATGTGACTTAAATAGGATAGTGACTTTTTGACTTTTTAACTTTTTGTTAGCATATGACAAACAAGGCCTGAATAGATAATCTTATTATCTTCAAATAGGCCTTACGATCCCACCGAGTGCTTCTCTCAAAACCCAACTCTTTCTTCCACCATCAGACATGATGATTTTGATATAGAAATAATTTTTAAAAATTGTAAAATATTTTTTTGTGTTTAGTTTTGTCAAAATAGTTTTCAATTTTTCAAAAAAAAAAAAAAAATGAAAACTCAACTAATATAACCAAAGTTTTTGCTTTGTTTTCGATGTGAAATGTATCGGATCTCCACCAATGTGGATTTATTTATTTCTATGGAGGAGGTTTTGATTGAAAAAAATAAAATAAAAAGCAGTTCTCAACTACAACAGCATGGAATTGATAGTGAATGAAACAAGTCTTGGGACCAGGTCATTGATTGAAAGAGGTGATGGTGAAAACCATTGAAATTCTTGCCAATTCTGATTTAAAATATTGGTACATGTTGCAAAGAAAATAGCTAGTATTTAGGAATTGGGATCCTCTCCTTGCACTCCCTCCTTACGCTCTGTCCTTGCAGGCTTTTGGGCCTACTTTTAGGCCCAATTTTGATAATAAGAACCGTTCATATTTTATGATTTATTCAGTATATCATATCTGTAAAAAATCAAGTTGATTGGATATCAGAAAGTATATGTTCGGAAAACTGTTTATTAAATTCTTTAAAAAAAATAGTTTTTAGTTCAATTTTTCGAACACATACTTTCTGATATCCGATCAACTTAATATTTTACAGGTATAATATACTGAATAAATCTTAAAATATGAACGATTCGGATCATCAAAATTAGGCTTTAAAGTAGGCCCGAAGGCCTGCAAAGACGGAGCAGAAGGAGGGGCTTATAAGGAGAGGCTCCTGACTCAGTATTTAGATATTAATCGGGTACCCACAATGAATTGAGAAAAGATCCATGTAGTAATAATAATTCAAACCCATATTTTCAAATTTTGAAATAGTATTTTCCTTCTAATCTAGTCACCCAAACATCACCTATGCTATGAGTGAGAATCACTTTTAATGTAATTAAATTGTATTTTATTTATAACAAAGTTATATATTGAAAATTTTTTGCAGACAAATAAATATATGATTCAAATTCATATACGAGTTGAATTTGGGTCACACATAATTTTTCTAGGTAAATGATAAAAATTTTCGGTACTTAATTTTATTAGTATTAATGATAAAATTATGATTATGAAAGAAAAATTGTTAAAAAGTCAACAATTATGTCTTTCGCGGATGGAAATAGTGAAATGTCTTAAGTCTTCATCTATGCCAATTAAGAAACCATGATATAAAGGGAACTTGTTTGATTATAATATGGAAAAAGAAATCCCCAAATGAATATCTTATTATGGGAAAAAAAATGTACTTTTTCATAGGTCTCCCTAACTATAATTGAAATCCACCCACTACTTCTAACTATGTAGTGATTATCAAGGCCATGATGAACACAATGCTATGATGAAGGCATAACATTTGGAGTTGGTGAATTTGATATTGATTTTTTTAGGAATATACATTTCAAAATGCCAAATGCAGTCTACAATTTCATATAGCCAGTTTTGATAGGATGATTTTGACAATCAACAATGAAATTAATGTTAGGAATGTGTATTGCATCCACCCTCCGAAAATCAAGCACAAGATTTTTTGTACTCAAAATTGTCTTTTAATTTTAAAATATTCGTGTCTATTGAATTATGTTTTGAAAGTATCACATCATAAAATTTTAAGTAAAATGATTGTAAGTATTTTGAGACAGTAAGACAGAAAGATTTGAGAACAAAAAAATTCTTTAATCAAAATCAACACTCATCATGAATTTATTTTATCATCAATCGATAGGAGGAATCCATGGTATCATCATTACAAAACTATTTTGTGAGGTCAATTAAATCAGTTTAAAAATTATGCAGAAACGATGTTGTAGTGTGCACTACCAAAATCAAAGCAAACCATTCATGATTATATTATAATGATTTAGAATAAATATTACGAATTATTTGTAGTAAAAAAATATTATGAAAATTAAAAATAAGAAAAGTCATATATTATGATGTTGGTTATAATTAAAATACATATGGTATGTTGGGATCAGGTAGCAGTGACTGTTGTATGGTTCATGAGAGTTATTTCGAATTTTATTTTCATCATCTGAATCGTTTAATTTTTAAAGAACATCAAGTAAAATATATTTGTAAAAAATCAAATTGATTGGATATTGATAGACCCTTTATCAACTTGAATTTTTATATATAAAAAATAAACAACATCAAAATATATGAGTTGATGAATGCAAATGTGAGTTGATGAAGGGTCTATAGATATCCGATCAACTTAATTTTTTACAAGTATATTCTACTCGATATTCTTTAAAAATTAATCGATTCGAATGATAAAAATAAAATCTAAAATAACTCCCATAAATCGCATAACAGTCGCTGCTTGCACAACAGTCATATGTTTGTTTTCAAGGGTGCCAGAAGCACCCCAATTAATATGTTGGTATTGCCCCATCAATTCCGTGACCCATCATGCGGTGGTACATCTATGAGATTAGGACATAAAAGTCTCTCTCTTCACTCAAATTTCAAAACAATGCCCCCAATTAAAAATAATAATAATTATTAAAAAAATTACAGCTATGTAATGTATTGTTCGAAGGTTTTTTGGGTAAATTTTTTTAAATAAGATTAAAATTTTCAATTCAAATTATTTTAAGGAGTCATTAAAAATTTGTCTAATCAAAACTTGAGATCAGTGTATTATTTATAATCTTCCACAAAACTCAAACTAAGAAGCAACCTTGCATATTTTAATAGACTACATACTAACATTTTTGTGAATTAACCAACAACAACCTAACTTTGTTTGCATTTGAGTTCATTTTATTTTAAGGATGTCTGTACAATTTTAAAGTTCAAGTGGGCCAAACCCTAGCCGGCTAGGTTATTTACATTAGTAATATCCAACAAGTCAAATAACAAAAGCTTAATGTAAAAATTGTCTGCTGATCAAAGGGACTAGATCATTTGATTAATCTGGAAAAAAACAAAATGTCACCATCTCATTCATTTTCATTCTATCAATCCTAAGAGATAATTAGCATACTAAACCTACACCAGCATGTCATTAATATGGGTTATATTCTAATTCACTCATCAACTGTTTTCAAATTCTTTTGTTCTTATGTTTCAATATATTTATAATTATTGAATTATGTTTATGATGACGACTGCTTGAAACAAAGAGACAAGAATTGAGGAATTTTCACATAATCAAATGATTAAGATTTTTACATAATCTTCCCTGATAGTTTTCCTTTATTAATTTGTTATGCCACATGAATAAAAGGAGTCGTGATATGAGATGATAACAAGTAGAGATTTAAGAAAAACTGAAAAAACTGACTAAATCGATTGAACCGAATCAAACCGGTCATATTTGGTTGGTTTTTTAATACGAATCGGTCTGTTTGGTTTTGAAAATTAATTTTTTTGGTTTTCGGTTCGGTATTGGTTTTGATATACTATACACCGATTTGTACCGAAACCAACCTAATATATTTACATATAATATATATTAAATATATAATGAATAACTGATAGGTCGTTACACACACCAAAAATAAATCACTAAACTACACAAAATTCTTTTAGAATAATGGCAAGTCCAGGTATCGATCCACACGGATAAATGTGAAATGAGATTAATTCAATCGCTAAATTCCTAAATTAATTTTGATTAAAAAGATAAGATTGATTTATAACTAAATAGCAATTAAATGAAATTGAAGAATTATATTGACAATTAAAATTAGGGTTTGAGATATTAATTTTAAGAAAAAATCCTAGGGCAGAGAATTCACCACTAACCACATGAATGAGACTTAACATTGGCCAACAATCGTGATTCGGTTTGAACTACCCAATATTTCACAATTACAAGTTTAAAATATTGATCAAGAGGATTGTCGCATCCAACGTACAGGCACGAATCATCTCGAGTAGTACGAGTCGTTTGCTCTAAACTATGATAGCAACACGACTTGTCTTTTATAGCATGACTCGTCTCGTACTTTGA